TTGAGATCCGCTACTAACCTGATTTTCCCAGTCCACCACAATTGTAAATAGAGATTTTCTTATATGCCTGTCCTAGCTCCTGATTTATTTCCTTCTCCACATCCTGGCTACAGCTAGGAGACCTGTACACATCTCCCGTCAGGGTCTGTTCTCCTTTGCAGTTCCTTATCTCTATCTGTACAGATTCTACGCCTTCCGACTCTATCACTTTCGATTTCATTTCATTTCTTACTATCAAGCCAACCTCACGTCCTCTGTCCATCTGCTTGTCATTTCTATAGGATATTTAGTTCCCAGCACTGTTGCCCTTGCAGCCACATCACTGTGATATCTACAACAGCACACCTGGCTATTTCAATCTGTGCTAAAAGTTCACTTGCCTTGTTTTGTATATTGCGTGCATTTAAGGACAATACCCTCAATCCTGCATTGACTGCCCTTCTTCTCATAGCTGTCCTCTTAATGAATGCACCTGAAGTTAGATTCCTGACCCTTTCCATGCTCTCTATCCTATTACTTTTTCTGGAAACTTTAATAACCTCTGCTGAGCCCTCTTCCCACTTTAACTTTTAACATAATTTTCCATGCAACTGAAACCACCCATCCAATATTTAGTTTAAAGCCTAATCCACATTCCTAGCTATGCAATTCGTCAGGACTCTGGTCCCAGCATGATTCAGGACGAGCCTGTTCTATTAGAACAGCTCCCTCCTTCCCCAGTACTGGTGTCAATGTCCCATGAATTCAAACCAGTTTCTCCCAAAGTAAGCTTTCAGCCTCGCGTTTACCTCTTTAATCTTGTTGGTCCTGTGTCAACTTGCTCATGATTCAGGTAATAATCCAGAGATTACTACCTTTTAGGGTCCGCTTTTTAATTTAGCCCCTAGCTGCGCATATTCCCTCAGAAGAACCTCTTTCCACCTGTATCACCTATGTGGACCGCAACAACTGGGTCTTTCCCCTCCTACTCCAAGTTCCTCTGCATCCCAGATAAGATATCCTGAACCTGCGTACCAAGCAGCCTTCCAGCTTTTTGGATTCTTAATCCTGGCCACAGACAGCACTGTCTATTCCCCTGACTATAGTATCCCTGATTACAATTACATTTCTCTTTTCTCAACCCTCTTGAATGGTTGCCTGTACCATGGTGCAATGGTCAGTGTGCTCATCCTCCCTACACCCCCGCTCTCACCCTCACTGGGAGCAAGAATTTCAAACCTGTTTGACAAGATCAAGGGCTGAGACCCTTTCAGCACAACCTTCTGGATACCTCTAACTGCCTTGCTCATAGTCACACTCTCCTGTCCCTGACCGAATTTGAGGTAGTTTATTTAAGGAGTGTGCTGGAGTTCCTCAACTGACCAATACTTGCTACGGGTGGCTGCTACGAATCACAGTGAAGTCCACCAGCTCCCACGTCATGCAGTGCCATTGCCATTGATGTTCTTCCAACATTAGCATCTCAGGAGTCACTACTGATTAAGATAATACTTGAACAACCACACCAATACCATAGTTACAAGAGAAAAACACAGACCAAGTACTATGACAAGTGGCTCACCTTTCAATTCTTCAAAGTTTTTTAATCAAAACAGGAAATGAAGATATGTATGACATATTTATATTTATATATTATAAATATATACTCTGCAGGGATCAGTGCTGGGAACTCTGTTGTTTGCAATATATAAAAATGACGTGGAGGAGAACGTGATTCATAAGTTTGCAGATGACACAAAGATCGGGGAGCTGCGGACAGTGAGGAGGATCGCCAGAAGATACAGCATCTGAGGTGATACATTTTGAAAGGTCTAATGCATGAGGAGGGTATACCATAAATGGCACAAGCATTAACTTACAGAGGAACCTAAGTGTACAGGTCCACAGGTTCCTCAAAGGGGCAACACAAGTGGTTTAGATGGTCAAGAAGGCATATGGCATGCTTGCCTTCATCAGTCAGGCCATTGAATATAAAAATTGGCAAATCATTTTGCAGTTGTATACAACTTTAATTAGGCCACATTTGGAATATTGCATGCAGTTTTGATTATCACACCACCAGAAGAATGTGGAGGCTTTGGAGGGGGTACAAAAAAGCTTTACCAGGATGCTGCCTGGTTTGGAAAGTATATGCTGTGAGGAGACAGTGGACAAACTTGGTTTGTTTTCACTTGAAGATCAGAGGCTGATAGAAGTTTACAGAAGTATGAGAGGCATGGATAGAATGGATAGTTGGAGTCTTTTTCCTAGGTACAAATGCCAATTACTAGGGCCATAGGCTTAAAGCAAAAGGGAAAAAGTTTAAAGGAGATGTGAGAAGCACGTTTTTACATAGTGCCTGAAATGTGCTGCCAGAGGTAGTGGGTGGAGGCAGATACAATCGAAACATTTAAGAGGCATCTTGACAGAGACATAAATAGGCAGAGATTAGAGAGATATGGACCGCGTGGAGGCAAAAGGCAATTAAGACTACTTGCAGTTCTGAAATAAATGGATTAACTGCAGGAAAAGCTATGTTTTAAACAGACAGCTGACCCCGAATGGAACAAGGAACAGGGGGCTACTCCTGATAAGAAGGCAAGCCACAGACTTGAGGTCTCCAGGAATGTAATCAATGTTGGCAATGAAAGAATCCATTGAATTATCAATAATGTCACACCACACCAACTTGAAAGAGTGAAGATTGTATAAGAATCCAACACCAGAACAAGTCAGTATCAGAACTTTGAAGAACAACATTGCCCAATGATCGAACCCTGGACACTTCCAGAGACAGGAATTGTTGGTGAAATCCTGGCTGGATTCTATCATTAATCAGACAATAGCCAAAATAAATTGTGAGGGCTTAAGTTGCTTACTTGAGGGATCTTATTTTGGTTGCTACATGCAATAAAGTTTAAATCATTGTTTCAGTACTTGATTGTGAGATTTCTTAATAACTAGCTGAATTAAAGGTAACTTGTGGTGATTTACCCACAACAACATTACAATCTACTGTACCTATATCACTTTTCACCACCATACAGATACCTTCCTTTATTAAGTGTTATCCCACCTCTTATTCCTTTTGTCCTATTTTTCCATGAATGTTGAGTATCGATGAATAGAGTTCCCAGTCGTGGTCACCCTCACGCTCCGCTCCCCAGGACACTAATCCAGTTTGGTTCAAATGAATCCCATCCCAACAAAACTACTCTCTTTCCCCAGTAGTGGCGCCGGTACTTCATGAATCAGAACCTGATCCTCCCACACCAATCTTTCAACCACGTATTTAACTCTGTAGTCTTATTCACTTTGCGTAAATTTGCACATGGGTCAAGTTGCAATGCTGAGATTATTATCTTTGTGATTCTGCATTTTTATTTAGCTCAGAGCTGCTGTGATCTGTGCCCCTCCAAGCTCCTCTCAAGCTCAGAAGAGATGTCCTAAACCTTGGCACCAGGTAGGCAACTCATCCTTCACGATTCTGCCTTTGCTGCAGAGAGCAATATGTATTCCCCTCACTGTGCTATTACTTATTATTACACTTCCCATTATTCTTCCAACTTGAATGGCACTTTGGACAATTCACTCATCCTGCCTTCAGTCTGTGCCCTTGCCCACACTGGGAGCAAGAATCTCGTACTCTAATGGACATGGGCACCAGCTCAGACTCCTTCATAGCTAAATTCTGGACCCCAATACCTGCTTCGCTCACAGTCACCTCTACTGACCAAACGTGACTTATTTAATCTAAGGGGTATGATTGCCTCCTGCATCACAAAATGCAGGTAACTCCCCCTCCTTTATGTGTTGCAGTGTTTGCTAGTTGGACTCCAGTTTATCAACAGAGCCAAAGTTCCTTGAGCAACCAACATTTAGTGAAGATGTTGTCACTAAGGATCTCAAAGGCAAACAGCAACTTACACATACTACAGTTTTAACACATTGCCTTCACCACTATCACCACCCCTTTTACCTCCTTCCTGTGCCCTTTCCCCTCAACCCCATCACCTCGCCCCTTTCTTTCCCTACAACCTTCACTTGCCCCAATCCCTTTCCCTCAATTCTTCTTTGCTTCCCCTGCCCCTTCTTCACATCCCCACCCCTGACCCATGACTCTCTACCTTCACCCACCCTCTTCTCTATTCCCAGTCCCTGCTCCTGCCAACAGAGTTCACCTTGCCCACCCATTTCCCTATCCTACTAGCTCAATCCTCATTTCCTTCCCCGATCTTCCACCCTACATTCTTCACATTGCCCCCAACTCCCTTCACTTCCCCATTTCACCTCAACCCACACCCTTTCCTCAATTCCCTTCACTCACCCAACATTCACCACAATCTCTTTCACCTCCCCACACCTATTCCTTCAACATAATTCAATTTCTCCACCCCATCCACACCCTTTGTGCTATCCCCTTCACCTCTCCCACCCCCTTTCACCTCCCCCATTCCACCACTTTTCTGCACCCCCTTCACTTCCATCCCCTTAACTTCCCTATTCCCATCTTCCTCCACTATCTTACCCCCATTCTCTCTCCCCCCTAACCCACACACTTAGCCCATTTCTCTACCCACCCCATACTACTATGTATTCAAGAGGGAGCTAGATGTGGCCCTTGTGGCTAAAAGGATCATGGGACATGGGGAAAGGGTGGGAATAGGATAGCAAAATTGCATGATCAACCATGATCGTATTGAATGGTGGTGCAGGCCCGAAGGGCAAAATGGCCTACCCCTGCACCTCATTTTTATGTTTGCCATTCTCCCTAATCCCGTTCCTCCCAACCCTTACGACGTATTTGCGCCAAGCTTATTCTCCCCACCCTGTCCCATTTGAAGGAATATTAAGAAATAAGGGGTGATAGAACGGTGAACTTTAAACACAAAGAACATAGTCCCATTACCTCCTCCCCTTCCGCGTCTCCAAGTCCTCAGCCCGAAGACGTCACGGAGGGTGACGTCCATGACCAGGTGTGAAAGCGCGCGAGAGGCTTGAGCGAGCGGGTGACAGTGTTATGGCAGCGGGCGGACGTGGCGCTTACGGGATGGAGCAGATGCGAGCTGCTGATAGTGAGTCTGTGCCCCGAAACGGTGAGGGGAAAAAGGAAGTCCGAGGGCTCATAGGCGCCGAGGAGGCCTCAGCGTCAAACAGTAGTTGGTAATTGCCGTTTTAGCCGCTGCGTTGGCAGCAGTTTGGTTTGCAATCAACTTTGAATCTTTTGATTCAAAAGATCTGTCTAAATTTCCCAGAGCGAAATTATACTTAGCATCATTTTCAAATCCACAACTATGATTTCCATTCCAGTTGAATGGGACATTTGCAGCTGAATTGTGTGCTTGTGCTGTAACAAGGCAGCACCATCATTGGCTGCAGCAACTAGAGTCATGCATGAATTTTGCAAATATCTTGTTATAACTGGGGATTTTGTAATGAACAAATTTGTTGTATCTTGACAACTATTCAAATTGTAAAAGTTTATGAATTAAGTGAAATTAAAAATGAATGGTTTGTTTCTCACCAATTTTATTCAGTAACTGCCAGAGACCATTTTCTTGTTCTTTGTGTTCAAGGTTCACCAATCTATTATCCCTTATTTCTTAGTATTCCTTCAACAGCTTGCACTTGGAGGTGAGGGCAATCTCCCATGGAGGTGTTAGGTCTGTAATTTAAACATCTGCTGAGGCTTTAGTCTGTGACCATAAGGGACCCAGTTTTAATGTGTTATCATGAGGATGCACAGCTGAGGACTTCTCACTGGAGAGGCTTTGTGTTGATAATGAGAGACGTGCATTTGTCTCGCTTTCTTCCATTCCAGCTGAAAGTGCAAAACAAGCCAAACTGAAAGAATGCTAATTCTATTCATCATATAAGAGATTCATTGCATTCACCTGTTGAGGAAACGGAGGAGTTTTCCCCCTCAGGTTTACAGTGTGTGGATTTGCTGGAATGTAGACATGGCTGTGGTTGTTGTGTGTCAAAATGGGGTTCCAAGTTGCTCATTTGCTGATGATCAAATCAAGGTAATGCTGATGCCTTGACTTCGGATTTTTCCAGGACACCTTATGGCATAGTTTGTTCGGAAATAGAGTGTCAGTTATGCAAAACTTGAGAATGACTAAGCTTTGCTGCCTGCCGCATTTAACTTGTTTAGGCCACGATGCTACATGGCCCACTCCCATTTGTTGTTGAAATCCCCCAGATGTAAAGATGAACTAACATTGGTTGTGCTGTCAGCAGAATCCCTATCTCTCACAAAATTGGTCTTTTATCTGCATATGGAACGCAGCATTGGTGCATGGATACATATGAGGTTAACTAACTGTGTTTGAATTGAGGCAAATCATAGAATCACAAAATCGTTACAGTGCAGATGGACGCCATCCCATCCAGACTAAGCTCCCAACCCCCATCCCTGTAACCCTCCATTTACCATAGCTAATCCGCATAGTTTACATATCCCTAGACACTACAGGGCAATTTAGCATAGCCAATCCACCTAACCTGCAAATCTTTGGACAGTGGGAGGAAACCCATGCAGACATGGGGAGAATGTGCAGACTCCACACAGGAAGTCACCTAAGGCTGGAATTGAAACCGGGTTCCTGGTGCTGTGAGGTAACAGTGCTAACTACCAACAAATGCTTTACATAAGAATTGACTGCAGTGGTGCAAATAATTATCTTACGAGACACAAGGCTGCCTCCACAATTTAAATATTAGATCTACTCCAAAACCTTAGAAAGTTGTATTGTCAACCCAGATTAGGGCCTTAACTGACAGCATGTAGGTTTCCCAAGCAGTGTGGATCTTAAGTGAGGGCACACTGAGAAGTCATTGATCAGTGAAATTGACAGCCTGAAACCCCTTCATAAGTGAAACTGCATTTTTTGCTTTTCTGCCAGTGTGAAAACCTGTATTCACAGGCCTTTTGAAAGCATATCTTCACTGATTTACAAGTGGTTTCCAAACTTTTAGAAATCATTTCACTGATCTTGGAAAAGCTAGTTTCCTGCTTCTCCTGTTAATGTTCACCATAGCATGGAAGTAGCTTAAGTACCACTGATCTCCGATGACAAAACTGCTGTGCATAAATTCATCTCTTTAGTCTATTTTGACATCGATAAAGCAAGTCAGATGCAGGGCTGTCATTTTGTATTGGCTGTGTAAGATCAGGGATGCAAAATAGCTTCTGGTTGGTGGAAATGCAACTTTTGGGTAATGGAATTCTGTCCTTTTAACTTTTCCAACTTCTGCCTCACTTTGGGTGTCGTCACCAACACTGCTAAAGCTCAGAGGAGAGAGTTCCAGTTAGTCTGGACAATCTCTGCCAACAACGAAAGGAACGTATTTGTCTGGCTGCTTAGCAGAAACCAGAGTTCAACAGGCCAAGGAAGTGTGAGCAGCAGTGGTTTTTTTTATTGTTTATTCATTCACAGAATGAGGGCATCGCTGGTTAGGCAGTATTTATTGTCTGCCCCTAACTGCCCAGAGGGCAGCTAAGAATCAACCACATTGCTGTGGATCTGGAGTCACATGCAGGCCAAACCAAGTAAAGATGGCAGTTTCCCACCCTAAAGGACGTTAGTGAACCAGATGGGTTTTACGGCAATCAACAAGGTCATCAGAAGATTCTTAATTACCGATAATTTAAAACGGACTGCTTCAGTATGTGAGGAGTTGCGAATAGTTCTGAACATTGAGCATCCCCACTTCTGATCTTTTTGGAAGGAACGTCACTGATGAAGCAGATGTAGATGGTTGGGCCTAGGACACTGCCCTGAGGACCTCCTGCACAGATGTGGAAGGGTTGGAAGAAGAGCTACTGAATGAAAGTGTGTGGGTATGGTGGGGGACAAGAGAAAGAAAAGAGGGGCATGTGTGATGTTTGTGGATGTGATTCCAATCAAGTGGGCTGCTTTGTTCTGGATGGTGTCCAGCTTATTGAGTGTTCGAGCTACACTCATCCAGGCACGTGGGAAGTATTCCATCACATTGCTCTCTTGTGCCTTGTCAATGGAGGTCAGGCTTTGGGAAGTCAGGTGCGTTACATGCTGCAGTATTCCTAGTCTCTGACCTACCCTTTTAGCCACTGTATTTATATAGCAAGTCCAGTTGAGTTTCTGGTCAATGGTAACTCCCAAGATGTAGGTAGTAGGGGATTCAGTGATGGTAACACCATTGAATGTCAAGGGGCAGTAGTTAGATTGACCATGTCTAATAAGAGACATTGCCTACCATTCGTGTGGCGTGAATGTTACTAACCACTTGTCAGCCCAAGCCTTGATATTTTTAGATCATGTTGTATTTGAACATGGACTGCTTCAATAACTGAGGAATTGAGAATGGTTCTGAACATTGAGCATCCCCACTTCTGATCTTATTTTGGAGGGAAGGTCATTGATGAAGTGGCTGCAGATGGTTGGGTCTAAGACACTACCCTGTTGACCTCCTGCGGAGATGTTCAAGCTGAGGTGACTGTCCTCTTAACAATCACAACCATCTTCCAATGAGCCAGTTTCAGTTTGGCCATGGCTTCTTGATACCAAACCCAGTCAAATGTGGGCTTGATGTCAGCGGTTGTCACCCTTGTCTCACCTCTGGAATTCAGCTCTTTTGCCCATGTCTGAACTAAGGCTCTATTGTGGTCAGGAGCTGAGTAGTCCTGGCAGAACCCAAATTGGGCATCAGTAAGCATGTTGTTGCTAAGCAGTTATTTGACGAAACATTCTGTCACTTTACTGTTGACTGATGGTAGACTGATGGGGTGGTAATTGGCCAGGTTGGATTTGTCCTGCTCTTTCTAAAGGACGTACCGGCACAATTTTTAACATTGTCGGGTTGATGCCAGTGTTGTAGCTGTACTGTGGCAGCTTGCTTGGGGATGTGGCAAGTTCCAGAGCACAAGCCTTCAGTCCTGTTGCTGGAATGTTGTCAGAGCCCATAGACTTTGCAGTATCCAATGCCACCAACCATTTCTTGACTTCACTTGGAATGAATCAAATTGGCTGAAGACTGGCATCTGTGATGCTGGGACCACTAGATGAGGCAGAGATGGATCATCCGCTTGGAACTTGTCATATCCACTCTAATCCTGCCTGTTGTTTTTCCTTGTCATGTTGCCATGCCCTTTTGCATTGTATAATCATCTCTTTTGTCACTTATTCTCTTCTATCTTTCATCCTATCACAGAATTAACCTTTCATTCTTTCCTCTTCCTCACTACCCTGTCACCTCTATAAACTTAAAACCTTCTATATCTCTATAACTTTTTCTGTTCTATTGAATTGCTATTTATCTGAAACAATTAGTTTTGTTTATCCCTCCTCTAGTGGTGCTGCTTAAATTGTTCAGTATTTTCAGCATTATCTGTTTTATACTAACTTTTATTTATAAACGGCGATAAACAGACCTATTGCTGTTTTTAGAGATAACAAGGTGTAGAGCTGGATGAACACAGCAGGCCAAGCAGCATCAGAGGAGCAGGAAAGCTGACGTTTCGGGGGTCTAGGCATTCTGCAGCATCTGCAGTTCCTACTATCTCTATTGCTGTTTTTGCTGTTTCTGTCCTGAATTATTATTGTTTCTGTTCTTCCTTGACATGTTTTAAATTTCCTGTATATCCTGAATATGTAAAATACTGATATTACCAGGAATAGGGTGCAGTTTGCCATTGAAATTTCAGATTGTGAATTTTTAAAATGTGATATGGGTATTAAATAATTTAACAGCATAAGATAAACCTTGACCTAGATTTTGTTAGTTGGTAGTTAAAAATGCAATTCATTTTGCTGAGTAGTATAATTCTATCTGTTAAATTTATATCTTTTATATCAGACTTAATGTTTCACAGTGATGTCTCTTTATATTTCATGGTAATAAACTCCTATAGATAGTCTAAAAGCACAGAATTTTCACAATAGAACATCACTGATGAAACTTGAAGCTCAACTGTTTTGGCCTGGAATCATAAATCATTTTTATTCTTAATATATTTAGAGGAATAATTTTGAAGTGTAACAAACAATCTACCTTAATAAATGTAGATTAGTATAGTGCAAGGTTTGTGTAACTCCATTTGAAGTGTCATGAGACTCAATTTGCAACAAACAACTTGTATGGTTTACTAAGCTATATTATAGGTGCACAATCTACTTTGAATTCTATTAAGGAAAGTAGTTGATTTTTTGAAACTAATTTTAAATCTGTTTATTTATGGGCCTCAGTGGTTTATTAAGTGTGATTTTGGAACTTTATGCACCATGTGAAATGCGATTCTATTCATCAGCTATTTTATATACAGTAATTATATTAATGAATATTAAAATAAAAAATCTAAGAAATCTGAATGGGTGATATTGCTCAAGGTTATGCACAGCAGGGTGACATAAAACATACTTCAAAATAACTGAGATAATAAGATGTAGAGCTGGATGAACACAGCAGGCCAAGCAGCATCAGAGGAGCAGGAAGGCTGACGTTTCGGGCCTAGATCCTTCAGAAAAAATCTTCAACACCTTCAAAACCAACACCTTCAAAATAACTGCATTGCTGTAAGATTTAATTCCCACAGACTATCAAAAGTTTCTAATATTGCATTGTTAATTTTAATTTATTGTTTGCAAAACAAAATTTATAGTTTTAACTTCAAACTGGCTATTAGAATTATTTTCAGAGAATCATAGAACCCTACAGTGTAAAAGCTGCATTTGGAGCATTGAGTCCTCACCACCCTTGAAGATCATCCCACCCAGACCCAACCCTCCCTACGTTATCCCTGTAATCCTGGATTTCCCATGGCTAATCCACCTAACCTACATCCCTGGATAATTTAGCTTGACCATTTCCATCTAACCTGTGCAGCTTTTTACTGTGGGAGGTGACCAGAACACCGAGAGAAAACTCACACAGTCACAAGGACAGCGTGCAAACTCAAAACAGACACTTGCCCAAGGCTGGAATCAAACCTGGGTGTCTGGTGCTGTGAGGCAACAGTGCTAACCACTGAGTCACTGTGCCACCCAACAGAGACAATTTTAGTCAAATAATCATGTTTCATGACAGTATTGGAAGTTGTGATGGCTCATCTTAAATGTGTAATTTTGGTGATGTTTAACGTAATTTCTTCTGTCTCAACAATAGAACAACAGCTGAATGAAGATGTGCTTGCATGGTACCTAAAAACATCAAAGTTAGCATTGGCTTTAGCTGTAATTGGCGATACCCCGCCAGAGAAGAGCAGCAGAGAGTATGCAGAACACTTGGCTGAAACCTTGCATCAGAAGGAGGTAGACTGGAAGTTAAAAGCTGAGGCTTGGAAAGCTGAAGCGTTACATCTACGCCAAGAATTGTTTCTGAGTCGAATGAAATCTGTAGCAAGATCAAGCAATGGTGAGCATATCACAGTGCTCCATGTATTTAATAACTTAGTTAATTTAATTCAATTTGATGCTGCCATGTTGACTGACACTTGATGACCTGCATGATAGGGAGGCAATAGTTTTCAATTTTTGAGACATTTCAGAGGCTATGTGTAATGATTTTGTCACTGGACTGGTAATCCAAAGACCTAGGTGATGCTCAAGGGCCTTGGGTTTGAATCCCACCACTTTGCCTGTCAGGCCTACATGTGGTTGTGGAGCCACAGCAATATGTTGATTCTTAACTGCTTTCTGAAATGCCCCAGGATGTCACTTAGTTGTATCAATGCCTCTTAGAAATGAATCCAGATGGACCGCCTGGTATCAGTCTTGGCACCGAAAACAACAGCGGCAAATTCAGAGAACTGTATCATTAGATTAGTCGAGCAACAGCCTAACATCCTTATTCTCCAAATCATATGTTACAATGTCCCACACGTGACCATCACCATCCTTGCATATGCCCTGTCCCACAAGTAGGAAAGATACAGGACACTATTATATGGATCAGTGTTAGGGACTTGCTCTGGGAGTCCTTAGTGTTGACTTCGGACCTGTAAGGTCTGATGATATCAGGTCAATGTGGGCAAGGAAATCTACTGATTTACCAGGTTACCACCCCAACCCCGCTCGGTTGATTAATCAAAGCTGCTCCATGTTGAATACCAGAGGAAGTACAGAAGGCAGCAAGGGCCAAGAATGTACTCTGGGTTAGTGACCAAAAGACATAGGAGCAGAACTAGGCCATTCAGCCCATTGAGTCTGCTTCACCATTCAATTAAATCACAGCTGATCTAAATCCTTAATGCCACTTTGCTGCCTTTCTCTATAACCATAAATTCTCTTATAAACTAAAAGTTTGTCTATTTCAGCCTTCATATACTTACTGACCAAATCTCAACAGCCCTCTGTGGATTCACTACCCTCTGAGAGAAGAAAGTCCTACTGATCTCTGTTTTAAATGTGCGACCCATATTCTGAGATTATGGCCTCTCGTTACAGACTCTCCCACAAGGGGAAAATCCCTTACTGCATCTGCCCTGTCAAGTCCTCTATGGATATTGTATGTTTCAATAAGGTTACACCTCTATATTCCAATAAGTGCAGACCATAATTATTCAACTTATTCTCCTCATAAGACAGTCTCACCATGTCTGGTGTCAGTCTAGTGAAACTTTTCTGCACTGCCCCAAACGTCTGTATACCTTTCCTTAGATAAGGGGCCCAAAACACGCCACAGCATTCCAGCTATGCTCTGTTTAGTGCCTTGTATAGTTTCAGCAAAACCTCTCTATTTTTATAGTCCATTCCCTTTGAAATAAAGACCATAATTTCATTTGCCTTCCCTGTTTCCTGCTGAACTAGGATGCTGGCTTTCAATGATTCATAAACAAAGACTTCCAATCCCTCTGTTTTCTGTGTTCTTTCTCCATTTATATAACATTCAGCTGCTTTATCCTGAAGTACACAATCTCCTATTTCTCCACATTATATTCTATTTGCTAAGTTTTTGCCCACTCACTTAACCTGTCTATATCCGTCTGCAGACTCTGCATTTTATGGGGAGGCGATGGTCAGTTAATCCAGAGACCCAGATAATGTTCTAGGGACCTGGGTTCAAATCCTGCCATGGCAAGTAGTGGAATTTGAATTTTAAAGAAAATCTGGAACTAAAAGTCTGATTGTCGGAAAAACCCATCTGGTTTAGTAATGTCTTTGGGGAAGGAAACTGCCGTCCTTACTGGTCGGGACTACATGTTACTCCAGACACTTCTGCCCTCTGGGTTGGACAATAAATGCTAGCCTAGGCAGTGATGTCCTTGTCCTGTGAATAAATTTTAAAAAGTCAGAGTGAAAAAGAGGTGTGATGGTATACTGACCACTTGCCTGAATGAGTGCAGCTCCAATAACATTCAAGAAGCTTGATATCATCCAGGACAAATTAACCCACTTGATTGTCACCACATCTATGAATATTCCTCCACTGACACTTAGTAACAACTGATATGCACTGCAGAAAGTCACCAAGACTCCTTAGCCTGCATTTTCTAAGCTGATGACCACTACCATATATACACGGGAGGGCTATCACCTTCAATTTCTTCTCTAAACCACTCACCATCCTGATTTGGAAATATATCTGTGTTCTTTCATTGTCACTAGGTCAAAACCCTGGAATTCCCCGTCTAATTGCATTAAGGGTTCCCCAAACCCAAATGGACTGCAGCAGTTTGAGTAAGCAGCTCATCTCCACCATCTGGAGGGCAACTAATGATGGCCAGTAAATTCTGGTTTAAAGCCCATAAATGGAATTAATAAAAATAAATATTAGAATTACAATGATTGGAGGAACTGAGGAGTTAATTGGTATATCGTTTATGAAAGAAAATTGGCTTTACTGTTCAAGGCTGTTGGACAAATATAATACTGAAAGTTTCTTGGAAATTTAATTGAATGGCATTATCCAGATATATATAGTTACAATGAGTTTTGCAGATCAAACTTAAGCAATGTTGAGCATCCGATATAAAAGTGGGAGGTGGTTTTTGAGGGAGGTATGGTGGAAGATGAATGGGATGGTGGGAACAGAGCAAACAAAATAATGGCCAGGAGGGAATGGAGGAAAGAGATGGATTGAAGGGAAAGGGAAGCTTGGAATGGATTTAATATCTGATTGGACTCTACAAGTGATAAAGCTATAGAGTCACAGAGATATGCAACACGGAAACAGACCCTTCGGTCCAACCCATCCATACCGAACAGATATCTTAAATAAATCTAGTTCCATTTGCCAGCATTTGGCCCATATCCCTCTTAAACCCTTCCTATTCATATAACCATCCAAATGCCTTTTAAATGTTGTAATTGTACCAGCCTCCACCACTTCCTCTGGCAGCACATTCTGTATACGCACTACCCTCTGCATGAAAAAGTTGCCCGTTAGGTTCCTTTTAAATCTTTCCTTTCTCACCTCAAACCTATGCCCTCTACTTTTGGATTCCCCCACTCCATGGAAGAGACTTTGTCCATTTACCCTATTCATGCCCCTCATGATTTTATAAACCTCTATAAAGTCATCCCTCGGCCTTCGATGCTCCAGAGAAGATAGCCCCAGTCTATTCAACCTCATCCCTAAAGCTCAATCCCTCCAACCCTGGCAACATCCTTGTAAATCTTTTCTGAACCCTTTCAAGTTTCACAACATCCTTACTATAGCAGGGAGACCTGAAATGCACGCAGTATTCCAATAGTGGCCTGTACAGCTGCAACATGACCTCCCAATTCCAAAATCAGTGCACTGACCAATAAAGGAAAATATGCCTCCTTCACTATCCTGTCTACCTGCAACTCCACTTTCAAGGAACAATGAACCTTCACTTCAAGGTCTTTTTGTCAGCAACACTCCCCAGGATTTTACCATTAAGTGTATAAGTCCTGCCCTAATTTGCCTTTCCAAAATGCACCTCTCCTTGGCCCATTGGCCCATCTGATCAAGATCCTGTCGTCCTGTAAGGTAACCTCCTTCGCTATCCACTACAACTCCAATTTTGGTGTCATCTGCAAACTTACTAACCATACCTTCTGTGTTCGCATCCAAATCAATATAAATGATGAAAAGCAGTGGACCCTTGTGGCATGCCGCTGGTCACAGGCCTCTAGTCTGACAAGCAACCCTCTACCACCACCCTTTGTCTTCTACCTTTGAGCCAGTTCTGTATACAAATAGCTAGTTCTTCTTCTGTTCTGTGTGATCTAACCTTGCTAACCAGTCGACCATGAGGAACCTTGTCAAACGCCTTACTGATGTCCATATAGATCATGTCCTCTGCTCTGCCACCATCAATCCTCTTTGTTACTTCTTCAGAAAACTCAATCAAGTTCAGGAGACATGATTTCCCATGCACAAAGTCATGTTGACTATCCCTAATCAGTCCTTGCCTTTCCAAATACATGTAAATCCTGTCCCTCAAAATTCCCTCCAACAACATGCCCACCACTGACCTTAGGCTCACTGGTCTATAGTTCCCCGGTTTTCCCTTACCACCTTTTTTAAATAATGGCACCATGTTAGCCAACCTCCAGTCTTCCGGTACCTTGCCTGTGGCTATCAATGATACAGATATCTTTGTAAATGCAAGAAATCAAAGTCTGTATTGCCTTTCTCATCGATGAAAAAATCATGGACTCTTGAAGCACACCAGCTTAAAAAAAAAAGTCCCTGGCCTTTATCAAATTATATTCTACAAGCAGTCTGCAATCCACTGTAATTTATTGAACGTTTAAAAATTGCAGAGTCAACAGAGGAGATTTCAGTCAATTAGAAAATTTTTAACTTGTACTTATTTCTTGAACATGGAAATAATATAAGTAATGAAACTTGATCAGTTTTCTTAAAAGTACTGAATCTGAATTAGCATCTATGATATGAACTTACATGTGATGATTAATCTTTCCTGAGCATTATTATGTCTTTACTGACTCCATGTACACATCTATAACTCTGAGCTCAAAATAACAAATTATCTGCTGGAAGCTTAAGAAAAGTACCTATCTCTGTTTCCCTTTTGATATTCATACTGTGTCAAAGGCAGTCATGTACAAATATTCATGATTAAATATAACTGCCTGTCATCTGTAGCATTAAGGAATAGAAAATGTGTGGAATCCTATCCTATGATGTGATAGCAAAGTCAGTTTGACTAGCTTGTTTTTCTGTTTTAGATTTATCTGTTTTTGACACTAGGATTGACTATGAGATTTTAATCCTTTTGAGAGAAATCTTCATAACTGACTAATTTCAGGAGGCCTGTGTGTTCGTCTAAGTTCCATGTCATAGAGTAATACAGCACAGAAACAGACCCTTCAGCCCAACATGTCCATGTTGACCAGGTTTCCTAACTGAACTAATCCCATTTGCCAGCAGTCGGCTATTCATCTTATCTCCACCTCTCTTTAAACGTCACTCCTCAGCCTCTTTCGTTCCAGGGGAAAATGTCCCAGACTATCCAGTCTCTCCTTGTAACTCAAACCCTCCAGTCTCACTAACATCCTTGTAAATCTTGTTTGTACCTTGTCCAATTTAAGAACATCTTTCCTATAGCAGAACAACCAGAATTGCACGCAGTACTCCAAATGTGGCCTTACCACTGTCTTGTACAGCCGTAACGTGATGCCCCAACTCCTATACTTGACTGATGAAGGGCAAGCCTGCCAAATGCCTTCTTCACCACCCTGAATTTTCAACATCCTGATCTGTCTGAGGCAAGGAAAGAATAATGTTGTATTCCTTAATCTTCTATATGTTAGCTGGGAGCAGTATGGAACAGTGAATGCTTCAATATTATAATGCTGATTTTTCTTACCTGACTAATTGTTAAGGGTCACTGGTCCTGAAATATTAACTCTGTTTTTTCTCCACAGACGCTGCGTTACCTGCTGAGTTTTTCCAGCAATTTCTGTTTTTGTATTTCCAGCACCCATATTTCTTCCAGTTTTTTTCATTGGTATTTGGGCTCTGTTTGGGAGCAGAGTCTCAGCTGTATCCATAGTGTGTATCTTTATGCAACAAGTGTTTAGCAGTAGTGTGACAATGACATACTGTGACACATTCCTGATCCCTACATTTGTTTCACAAAAGAAGATTTATTTGACTTTTAGAATTAAGAATAAAGTTGTTGTAACTAAGCAAATTCAGTGAAAGTCAAAAATGGATAAATGATTATTCTTCACATTTAATTGGTCGTGTTATGGAATTATTAGTTTAGTGTTTCAAATGTATCAATGTAATGCCATTAATTTGATGAATGATGAGAAGAACTAGGTTTTCTGTACGTACCATGTGTTCAGCTCCAGCCTAAATGAGAAAGAACATCTCACTGCATTGCTGGCTGAAAATTGCAGCTGATAGTGGAATGTTTAATTGACATAAGGTAGCAGAGTTTAAGCTCCAGTTGCAAATGGCCCTTGTGCCAACAATATGTTCAGTAGCATAAACCAGATCTCAAGGCACGTTTGTATTTATTGACATGTTCCTTTTCAAATTTAACTTGGGACTTGCAAAATATTACATAATGTATTTATGGCATAAACCATAAAAAACTTCTTCAACTATTTGACTATTATCTTTTTCAGGAGCTGACTGTGCTTTTTGCCCAGACTTTACAACTCGAGGTTCTCTGGAATCTAGGAATGAATCCACTCATCTGGAGGATTCTGGTTGTGATACATCTAATGGACAAGAGTCAGATACCCAGGATCTACTAGCTAATCATAGTCTGGGATACCTCGATTCTTATTCGCTAACTAGTGAAAAATCTAAGGCATTAGTCAGTTCCACATTGTTGCCTCCTGAATCTAATACTACCAGGAGAGACAAATTAGATGAAAAGGAGGAAGTGCTCAGACTGCACACTCGGTTTTTACAGAGTTTAATAAGAATTAGAAAAATTGCAATGATCAGAACTCAGTTAACAGAAACATCGATTCTAGACAGTGACCATTCAGTAGTGACAGATTCAGTCTCACATCTTGCTCAGAGTTTGTTGGCTTTCTGTGTGGAACCTAGATCTCTTCTCCCAGATTCTTTACTGATGGAAACAACATGGACTCTTGTCCACTTAGTGCACGATGGAAAGTTGCCAAAGCGAATCCTTGTACAATGCACTAAGATAGTGGAGGAACTTGTGAAGGAGTTGGTGAAAGTCATTTTGGATAACACAAAAGTAAATAGGGTAAGTACATTTTGTGTAACTTGTTACTCTTATATCTACGTTTATTCAACAAAAAACTGCAGCTTAACTATTGTATATGAATTTTCTCATGAGCAGCCTAAATCCAGAGACATTAATTTCACTACAGAGAAATTTTGCGTACCTTTTAAGTGGTGCTATTTTTGAGATGAATTCATGACACATCAAATATGAAAATTAAAACAGTAAGACCTGTAGGTATCAAACACTGGCACTGTTACTGCACAGTTCTTCTGTCTGCTGTTATACGGGATTGATGATCCATTTACTTAAATAGTGTTATTGTTTCCATTAAAATAGCAGACACAGATTTCAGATGAATGTATTTTATGACTTAAACTATTTTCATATGGCTGGTTTAAGACCTTGCTGTCCACTAAAATACAAACGTGCTTGAGATCTGGTTTATGCTACTGCACACATTGTTGGCACAAGGGCCATTTGCACTGAAAATGCCATCCTTACCTGGTCTGGCCTACACGTGACTCCGGACCAACAGCAATGTGGCTGACTCTGAACTGCCTTCTGGGTAATTAGGGATGGGCAATAAGTGCTGCCTAGCCAGCGATGCCCCTCATCCCATGAATGAATGAAAATAAACTAAAAGCAAACCAGTATCTCTGCTCATTCATTTGCGAGTGGCAAGAGCAATAATTATGCTGAGCATACAGATATGTCTGCAGTAGAGTTTGATCTAGACATTCTTTTGTAAAAACTACATACATGAAATTAAGTTAAAAATGCAATTGAGAGACCTTTTCCACTGAGGAAATGAACTCAGCAACTGGTCACATTCTCTCTCTGAAGGGATTGAGTTGCAATGAAGGCTATGCTTTCTTTACTAAAACATTGACAAGAGATGACAATTAATGCTCATCTGTACCAAGGTTACATGAACTGCTTGAGAATTTCATGATAAAGTAAAATAAAAATAAAATTCCATTTGTATTGCCATAGGTTGAGAAATAATTGCAGGAATGAAGGCCCAGTGTAAATACTTAAAAATGAAGTCATGATCACAGATGGGTATCCAAGGAAACAAATATGGCTACTAGTTCATTTAATATTATTGTTTATTTTTGGTACAGCAGCTTAAGAATTGGGCAAATCTAGATGATTGTGTTGCATTTATAACACTTTACCATCTCGCTTTTACTAATTCTGGGGGTAATTTTGAATATAGGCACATAAAATTTATACAATAACTATGCATACATAGATAAAAGCTTCATGCTCACCATAACATTCACCTTCATCATGATGGATGTTAGGACTCAAGCATGCATTCAATAATACTTGTCATTTCTTGCATTCTTCACATGTTTGCTTCAACTTAGGAAAAAATGACCAAGGTCAGTGCAGCAGTTCTGTGAACACTGCTGCCAGAAGAAATAAGTGCAGATGAAGGGGCGGTATGGTGGCACAGTGGATAGCTTTGCTGTCTTATACTGCCAGGGCCTCAGGTTTGACTCCAGCCTTAGGTCAGTGACTGTTTGTAGTTTACGCATTCTCTCCGTCTCTGCATGACTTTCTGCTGGGTGCTCCAGTTTCCTCTCTCAGCCCAAATAATGTGCAGGTTAGACTGGCCGTGCTAAATTACTCCTAGTGTCCACTGATGTGCAGGCTAGGTAGATTAGCTATGGTAAATGTAGGGTTATGGGCATGGGGATGGCGGGGTGGTGATGGAGGTTGTGATTGGGTATGAGTCTGGGTGGCATGCTCCTTGAAAGGTTGATGCAAACTCAGTGAACCAAATGGCTCCTACTTGCACTGTAAGAATTCTATGATTCTTATTCTATGAAGACAGCACAGGGAACAGCATCTCCGGGCCAAACACAGTCAGTAGCCACTACTGGCTGCTGTACAGCATCCAGTGAGAGAAGAAGCAGGACCGAGGTGACAGAGAGCTCTGCCATAAAACTGTTCTACAGACTTTGATGTAGATCTTTGCAGATAACAGAGGCCCATAGAAGAAAAGACATGGGATGTCCCAAGACATTGTGTTACAGATATGTTACCTGTTGTATGAGGAGCTGCACTCATAAGGACTCTGTGACAAACCCTGCAGGTAGATCTGATAGTTATAGCTGTCCTGAATTTTTTTCCGAGTACTTATTTCAGGGACCTACTGGGATCTTTAGCATTTTCTTGGCCTCCATCCATAAGTGTGCTCGGGATTGACTGGACCAATGCCGGGCCAACAGGATTCTCGTTCATCACTGGCTTCCAGCAGTTGCAGGGTACAACCTGCAGAGTTTTGAATGCATCCTATCACCAACTCATAAACAGAAAAGGATTCCACACCCTTAATGTCTGACTCATTTGTGACCAGAAGAGCCAAATTTTGCACACTAACACTTGATATCCAGGGAGTAAAGGTACTGGCGAACTCTCAGATGCCAGCCTCTTTGCAACGTCCTCAATAAAAACAGATGTTTGGTGGGCAAGAAAGGTTCCATTCAAACCTGGTGATTGGCACCTCTAAGAAATCCTCAGATTGCTGCAGAATAAAATTACAATGCTGGCTATGCTTCCACAAAGTTGTTGTGGAACATAGGCCACAAGAAGGTGACATACAGAATCCTGGACTGGGCAGATGATGCCATGCATTACAATTCTGTGGCCATTACAATGGCCGTTACCTAAAACGACCAAACAGCTTGATGAGCACCTCACCCGCACCTGGCCTCTGCCAGTCTTTGCCCTCTCTGCTTAGTTATGGGTAGTCTGTCCTACAGTGACATAACAGGAAAGATTGTGTGTAATGAAAATGGGTGCAGCAGTAGTTTGAGTGCTTGATGAAGCATCTCCAGTGAGTAGGAAGTGCAGAAGGTGAAGTTAGTAGTTTGAGCATCAGGTGGGTGTGATTCTTTAAGTGCATATCATTTTGTGGATGTAGTTTGAGGCTTTGTGAAATGTGTGTTCAGTGGCAAAGTTAGTATGAGTGATAGCTCTGAAAGTGTGAGGTATTTAGAGCAAATGGTGTCCTTTACATTTGTGGAATGCAGGAAATTATTCAGCACTGTCTGTCACCTCCTTTGTGGAGTTCAACTGTGATGACCTGTGGCCCCACCTGTGGCCATTTATTCAGCCTGGAGAGGATGTCCCTTCTTCCTTTGGACCCATTTAGAATATGCAGGGCAGGTTTTATGAAGGAGGGAGTCAACAAAAGGTTTTTTTTGTTGGCATCTGTAGTATTGTACAAATGATCACCATTGGCTGAGGGACAGTTTGTGATTGCAGAATCTGAGGTGCTGTCCAGCTATATTTTAAGTTGGACACTAGAGCCTTTTGGTTGTGGATACAGCAAAAAGAAACAATACAACTGTTAAATTTCAGTATGTTTGGTAGAATCAAAGATGCTGGAAATCTGAAACAAAAGCTGAAATTGCTGCAGAAACCCAGCAGGTCTGGTAGCATCTGTGGAGAGAAAGCAGAGTTAGTGTTTCAAGTCCAGTGACCGACCTTCAGAGCTGTTCTGAGGTATAGAGGTATTTATGTGTTCAGTTGTACCTGTCACAAAAAGATAGCATGTAGGTACAGTATGTAATCCAGATGGTTAATGAGATGCTGTCCTTTCTTATGAGAGGAATTGAACATAAAATGAAGGATATTATGCCTCAGTTATAAAGAGCATTGGTGAGACCATATCTCAAATATTGTATGCAGTTTTCGTATCAGTATTTAAGGAAGGATTGAAATGCATTGGAGGTGTCAAGAGGAGCTTCACTAAATTAATACCTCGAAAGGGCATGTTGTCTCATGAGGATAAGTTAGACAGCCTGGCATTGATTCAACTGGAGTTTAGAAGAATGAAAGGTGACTTGATTAAAGTGCATAAGATCCTGAATGATCTTGACAAGGTGGAAGTGGAAAGTATGTTTCCTCTTGTGTGTCAGTTCAGAACTAGGAGACACCATTTTAAATTAATGATTGCCCTTTTAGGATGGAAGAAATTTTTTTTCTGATGATGAGAGTCTTTAAGGTCAACAGCGCATTGTGTCTGTGCCGGCCAAAAAAAAAGAACCTAACTGTTCTAATCCCATTTTTCAACACTTGGCATCACAAGTACACATCTAGATATTTGGTAAATGTTATGGGGGTTTCTGCATGTAGTGCCATTACAGATAGTGAGTTCCAGATTCCCACAACACTCTGGATGAAAACATTTTTCCTCAAATTTCCTCAAACCTCCTACCCTTACCTTCAATGTGTGCCTCCTGGCCATTGATTCCTCCCCCAAGGGGAAATGTTCCTTCCTGACGACCCTATCAGTGCCCTTCATAAATTTATACATTTTAATCATGTCGCCTTCAGTCTCCTCTGCTCCAAAGAAAACAGCTGTGCTGTGACTTTGGATTTCTCTGCTTGAGAAGGTAGTGGAGGAAGGGTCATTGAATATCTTTAAGACAGAGATGGATAGCTTCTTATTCAGTGGTGTGAGATCGCGTTCAAAGAACCAGACGACCAGGATCAGTGAGTGGTGAAAATAGCCTCTTTATTTAACATTCACAGCAGCACGATGTAAAGTGAAATAGAATCCCAAAATCATAGCTCAAGCAGCCGTTTTTATACAGAATTCAAGCATACATTAACATTCTAACACTTGAGTGTTAAGCAGTAGATATTGTTCAAAAACCGTTTTGCAAGAAATCAGAGATGGTTTAAACATGTGCTAAATGTTAATGGTTATTTTAATGAGATTAGAGTGTCTGTCTGGTTTGCCTTTGCATAATTCAAAAGGTGTTAGTCTTGTTATTTTCAAGGTTAGAATTTTAAAGTTAGAAAAAGGCATCTCATGTTTCTTAAATAAAAGTCTGAGTTCCCAACAGTTTTGATGGTCTGTGGTTTTTATTTACTATCATTTGTTTAGTAAGTTTCATGGTTGCGTTCATCTGTGGGTTCTATTTACTATCATTCATTTATTCAATCGGTTTTGTGGTCACACCTGGTTATAGTAGTGCTGTCAGTTTTATTCATTC